TTCGGAGTATAATTTTTACGTCATAGTTCTTTCATTCAAATAATCAAATTTCTTCATTGACCATTCATATATTTTTTTACAATAGGGACATTTGCACGCTCTCCAAGTTTGAATTCAAAACAGAGCAGGTTTTGACAAATTGATCCAAAATGCTACTTTCGCAGATTTTTTGCAGACAACGAATTAATTTTTCGAAGTACACTTCCATTATTCGTGTAATGACCTGTCAAACATCGTCACAATCAAATATATCTTGAATTTATTTGAAATTTTGCTGAATTCCCTCCCGAAACCCGCGTAGTAAAGAAATATTGTTTGTATCATTATGTAGAGTTTGCCTCCTTCAAGTTTGATGGAGATTTGGTTTGTGGGAATAACGACAATAAAAGTGGTCCAAATTTCAAAAAATTGTCCTTATTCTCGCAATTCAAATCTCCATTGTTTGTATTGTAGAAGTTGTTTTAAAGGCAGGCGTTTTGCTTTTGGCATGTTTGTTTCACATTTTGACAATGCTTATATCGCAAAGATACCTGAATGATCTATGTAGAACCTCGAATGTCATGTGGCAAGCAATATTCCCACAAATCAAATAACGGAACCATGTCTCATAAGTTGTCCTGAGATAGTGATGAACATAAGGAAATTACTCATAACTTGAAAACCCCGCCACCGATTTCATTTTTTTTTTCAGCGATGAAAAGGCGAATGATGTCGAAATGAATCTTTGATGAGAAATACAGGGTGTTCCATTTGAAAATTTCTAGTGAACGTCGTCTGAATCTTACAATATTCAGAGTGTAAACTTTAACACCCTGTAAAGGATAATCTCGCAAAATTACTGGATTGGTGTACGTGAGACCTTGCTACCACTGTATGCAAAAAATCTTCTCAAAATTTTAATAAATGAAAATACCATACCCAATTCAACATGACCCTTCAATAGTAGTAAAAATGGGTTCATCAATTATAACTTGGCAACGCCTCAACCGAATCCAATTTTTTTCACAGCGATGTAGAGCTAAACCGTAACGAAATGGATTTTGAATAAAAAATACTGAGTGTTCTATTTGAAAAAAGTCGTCTCCGAGTCCTTCCGCTTTCATAAAACACCCAGTATTGTTGAAAATATTTTTGAAATGGAACCTTCAATAACGGAAGAAATTTGTTTCCAAAATTTTTTCTCTAGTGATAATGGATTTCGAGATATCGAAGAATTACGCACTAAATGGACACACTGCATAGCTTAACAACGTTTGCCGCGTCTGCTAGTAATAATGATAATAATACAGACGATCCGATCAGTTTCTGTCTGATGCGTGGATGTTCCCGTTCCACATCCAGATATATACCAGAATCCACACAGTTGCCCGGAACGGCGTCATCCCAGCACCCTCTCCAGAGGGGTAGGTTTCCCTGTGCCATGTCCGATTTAATTAAATTCCGCCGTTATAAGCGGCCACCCCGCGTGGTTTCGTTAAATACCTTCCGAAGGGAGGGGGGTAAGTGGGGGTAGGGGATATTTTCGCCATCCAAACAAATTCGAGAAAGCCGACGAAAAGAGATTTTCGGCGGTTTTCTGGTTTAATCGGATCGAGGCAGGTGTGAGGCGAGCTTTAAGTAGAGCTTAAGCGGTCGCGGTGGCGGTTATTTCGTCCCTTAAAGCTAATTGAATCGCTATGTAATGATCATAAGAATACGGTGGCTCGGAATTGTCATAAGGAGATTTTTTGCCAGAGGCTATAACACAAAACTGCTCTTTCTTAACTATTTTCGATAAAACAATGAGGTACAGCAGGATCATTCCGTATATTTAAACAGCTCCTACAATACTGAAAACAATATCCAGACTCTTCATTTCATGTTCGTCTCACGATGATGATTTTGAAAACCCTATCTCTATGTAATCATTCCTGCTAAACCCCAAGTTGTGATATATCGATAAAATCATCCCTTCAGGAAGAATTTGAAAATGCAAATACATACTGACTGTTCCATTTGAAATAACTGAGTTGGTACTACTTTCTAATAGAAGTGGTAACATCGCATTGTTGAAAATATTTCATTGATGATAAAATCATTGGAAAAGAAGATAACAACCAGAAGAGAAATATCGAGGTATCTGCTTGCATTCTTCTGAACGGAGACAATAGCATTGCTTCTTGTTCAATTGATATAGATAGAATATGGTATTTACTACTGAAATCTGAGAATGAATCTGATAATTCGAACACCCTATTGATATGAGAATGATTTAAGGTGATAGTTCCAAAGAAACCCTATAACTGTTGTATTCGATTTTTTTTCAAATATCTGACGGTTTGACTCCTATACAGGGTATTAACAAATAAGTGTCACAACGGAAAACTGAAGATTCCTCAAAATAAAAGGAACTTTTCTTTTTTCTTCAAAATTTTCCTCCGGGCTTCCGTTTTCAAGATACAGGGCGTCAAAAAATCAAAAATATTCAGTTTCATTAAATACCCTTTACAACACTTGATAGACTCAACAATTTGAAAACCAGCATCGAGACCAGCCGTTACCACCGATACAACAAGGCCTGCATGCTCCGTGGGTGACGTCACTTAGTGAGGCCTAACCAGCGGCTCGCTTATAGCGCTATAAGGCGACCGCGTATTTCGATTTTAGTTTCAGATCATCATTGAGCCGATTTTGCTGTTTTTTGAAGGGCTTCCGGTTAAAAAAGGATGCCAGTCGTCAACTGAGCCCTTTTTCGCACCCCCATTCGATTTTATTATGAAAAAACGAAGTTTTGAAGCAAAAACCAGGATAAAACACAAATATCCACCTACAGCAACCCATTTGAATTAAATATATTGGCAAAAATTGCGGTGAAGGTAAACTTCACACCTACTTATACAGGGCCCGCAGAACATAAACTTATCGTGAGATTGATCGAAAGAAAATTGTGGAAAATGTATTTTATTTTGATTGACATGCCGTTTGTTACAATTACCTATATTTATCTTGGAGAATTCCTATTACCTGGAAAAATAACCAGTGAGTGTTTTCAATTTTCTGTTGTTGGATTTTTCACCCAAGTGGATCGTTACACTTGAAACCGTAATTTTTAAGGGTAAAACTGCATTTATCATGCGATGGTTTTTTTTTGAAAATTTTTCTCGGTACTCACGTATTTTTGTCTGATAAACCGAATTTTATAATGAAAATGTGAACAAACCACTATTTATTGAGATATTTCAAGAAAAAGTTCGAAATTTCGCCTTCTTCCTCCCCTTGTGTTGGAGGCATTTGAAGCTACTTGCTCTCATTTTGTCATTGGACACTTTATATACTCATTATGTACTTCGGCGGCACATTTTTATATAGAAAATTCAACAGGAAATATGATTTTTATGGCGAGTTTTTCATATTTAGTGAACAAGCATTACAGATGACGACCATTTATTCAATAGTCAATCAGAATACGAGATGTCAAATGTCAATAGATTGCTCTCGAATGACATTACACACGCCATTATTTTGAATGATATTCTTATTTCTTTTCACTAAATATGGATTAATCTCAAGAAAATCATATTTATAGTTGAATTATATATAAATTGTCCAATATGATGAAAAAAGAAGGGAAATTTGTTCTGAATGCCATCCAGAAGACAGGTGAAAAAGAAGGTGAAATTTGGAACTTTTCAGTCAAATATCTTCGTGACAAATATCATGATAAATGTTTACCTTTTTTGAGTAGAGTGTTTGTAGTTCATGTTAATATGATAGTTGCAATTTGATCATTGGAATGAATTCTGCATTCATTGCCACGAGGCAAATGACCGTTTTCAGAAAGAAATTTGAGAATGAGAATTAAAAATGCCCGTTTATTATGAACATTCACGAAAATTTCCTCGAATTCAGAAATGATTTTGTTGACTATAATATACGAATACAAAACTAACTGCACAATCAAAGCATTTCTGTTTTTCCTCTACTTATACTTTTTATGAGAGAGTAATTGTCTTCTATTATTAATTCATCATTATAAATTAAGCTCTGTTTACTACTGAACTTAGATGGAGTGAAATCCTCGCGGTGAATTGCATATACCCACATTTTCGATAGCTCCTCGTCCAACGGGAAACTAAAAGCATGAACTTTTGAACCACCCACATAACTTCCCCGACAAAAGGGAACACAACACTTGAAAGGCATTGTTATTTCGCCGATCACAACACAAAATATTTCACAAAATAGTAATTTTTCTGCCAATTATTCTGATGAATAAACAACTAAAGAATTCGGGACCGTTTCAAAAACATACGTGAATCACCGATGCATTAACACGAACTGACGCGTTAGTCGACAAGCGATAAAATAAAACACTGGCCTCTCTTGGTGATGTCACGAGCTGTTTACGTCAGAGTCTGCTGGCCTTGTTGTATCGGTGGTAACGGACCAGCATACTGAAGTACCTGTCATTCAATTGAACATATTATTAGACAGTTCTGAGTGTTCATTTCCAGTGGACTTTTATGCGATTTTTTGGGATACCATCAGGATTTTGTATGTTCTTATTCATGAAGAGCCATTTTTCTCAGGAACTGTTCACTTTAGAGCATTGAAACAGGGAAACATTTTTTGTGTGAAAGATATAGGCGCTTCAGAATTCAGAAGGGTTAAACCCTTACGAGGCGTTGAATCCTCCTCCACTGACATGTCCAAGGAAATTGATCAAAAGCCCTAAAAGTAGTCATTATTGATTATGAAGTGTGTACGAAGGCTCAACTCCGTAGCTCAGTCGGTACCTGAGATAGCAAAAAACAGATTTTTCTGAATTTTTTTGACGCCCTGTATCTTGATAACGGAAGCCCGGAAAAAAAATTCGGAAGGGATTTTTTTTCTTTTTTCATGAGCAATCTACAGTTTTCCGTTGTGACACTTATTTGTTAACACCCTGTGTATCTGTCGGTTTGGCTGATATAGAAGGAGAACACACCATTGACCCTGTATATGGCAAACAAAATGTATACTCACCACACGGTCACCGTAACGCCCCCCTGCGTCCTCCTGGCGCAGCACCCTTCCCCCACCCCTAGCCCCGCGTCTGCTCCGCCCACGCCGGCCACGCCCCCTCTAGGTGGGGGCGGAGTCGCGCACACGTGTCGACCACCCGACGCGCCCACGTACTCCACCGACGGGCCGCCGCCGGGCGCAGCTGCGTGCCGACACGACGGGGCGGGAGCCACGCCCACGGAGGCGGGGTTTATCGGCTGTGGAGTAGGCACGGAGGGCGGTGGGTGTGGCGCAGGCTGTTGTGGGTGGCATTGGTATCCGCCCACGCACCTGTGCGGAGAAAAGTCAGTAGAGAAAATCATCTCAGCTTAGAGAGAAGAAAAATGTCTTCTCTATTTGCCAATGTCTTTAGTGTCCCTACGTGAAATAATGACAATGTTATGTTGGCTGGAATAAAACATAAATAGAGAAAGGAGTGAGGGTTGCTGGGCTGTGTGCACGTGTATAAAGTGTATCCATTTAGTGCGTAATTCTTCGATATCTCGAAATCAATTATCACAAGAGAAAAATTTTGGGAAAAAAACTTTTTCAGTTACTAAAGTTGCTCATTTCGAAAATATTTCCAACGATACTGGGTGTTTCATAAAAGCGGGGTAACTCGAAGACGAGTTTTTTCAAATGGAACACCCAGTATTGTTCATTCGAAATTTATTCCGCTCAAGTTCAGCTCTACATCGCTGTAAAATAGATTCAATTTGGTTGCGGCGTTGCCAAGTTATAATTGATAAACCCATTTTTACTACTATTGAAGGGTCATGTTCAATTGGGTATGGTATATTTATTTATTGAAATTTCGAAATTATTTTTGGCATACAGTAGTAGCAAGGTCTCACGTATACCAATCCAGTAATCTTGCGAGATAATCCTCTACAGGGTGCTAAAATTTACATTCTGAATATTGTAAGATTCAGACGACGATCATGAGAAATTTTCAAATGGAACACCCTGTATTTCCCATCACGGATTTATTTCGACATCATTCGCCTTTTCATCGCAGAAGAAAACATCGAAATCGGTTGCGGCGTTTTCAAGTTATGAGTAATTTCTTTATTTTTACTACTATTTCGGGGTAATTTGTTCGTGCTGATGGTTCCTCAATATGATTTGAGTGTGGGAATATTGCTTGCCACATGACATTCGAGGTTCTACATAGATCATTCAGGTATTTTTGTGATATGTGCATCGTCCAAATTTGAAATATTCCGTAATCTTGCTACTTATGATTCAAATGATATGTGAAACAAACAAACATGCCAAAAGCAACGCCTGTCTTTGAAATAACTTCTACGATACAAACAATGAAGATGCGGATTGCGAAAATTAGAATTTTTTTTTTGAAATTTGGGCCATTTTTATTGTCGTTATTCCCACAATCCAAATCTCCATTTACCTTGAAGAAGGTAAACATAATGATACAAACAATATGTCTCCACTACGCAGCTGTTGGGAGGAAATTCAGCAAAATGTCGAATCAATCCAAGATATATTTGATTGTAGCGATGTTTGACAGGTCATTACACAAATATTTCGAACAAAATTCAAACTTGGAGAGCCTGTGAATGTTCCCTTTGTAAAAAAAAATATGAATGGTCAATGAAAAAATTTGATTATAACGTAGCAACGCAATATTTCCACAATACAAATAAATGAAAGAACTATGACGTACAAATTACCCCGGAATAGTAGTGAAAATAAGGAAATCAACCATAACTTGACAACGCCGCAACCGATTCCGATTTGTTTTCCAGCGATAAAAAGGCGAAAGATGTCGAAATGAATATTTGAATAAAAATACAGGGTGTTCCATTTGAAAAATTCTGATGAATGTCATCTGAATCTTGCAAAATTTTAAATGCAAAATTGAGCACCCTGTTGAAGAACATATCGCAAAATTACTGGATTGGTAAACGTTGGACCTTGCTCCTACCGTATGCCAAAAATATTTTCAAAATCTGAAGAAATGAATATACCATGCCCAATTGAACATGACTCTTCAATAATGATAAAAATAGATTTATCAATTATAACTTGGCAACGCCGCAACCGATTTCAATTTTTTCACAGCGATGTGAAGGTGAACCTTGACGGAATTAATTCCGAATGAACAATAATACTGAGTGTTCCATTTAATAAAACTCTTCTTCGAGTTGCCCTGCTTTTATAAAACACCCAGTAATGTTGAAAATAATTTTGAAATGAGCTACTTTAGTAACTGAAAAAGTTTTTTCTCCAAAGTTTTTCTCTATAGGTTATGACTTTCGAGATATCGAAGAATTACGCACTAAATGGACACACTGTATATACCAAAGAAGGGAAGTGTTGTATTTCGTGCAAGATAATTTATTCAAATTTATATCTGTATCAGAGCGCTTCCCTGTTAACTTGACGAGTATGCACTGATGATGACTTAACAGTCGAAAGCGCTCTGCTACAAATATGAATTTGAATAAATTATCTTGTTCGGAATACAACACTTCACTTCTTTGGTATAAATAGAGAAGACCATATTAACCTCAATATGAAAGGATGTTAGAATGGTTTTCTTCTTCATTTCTGTGCATTTCTAGCGTTGCCAACATAAAATGTTTATCGTTTTACGTTGGAAAACTGAAGACAAGGACATATTGGGAAGATATATTCTATCTTTCTCAGTGATATAGAGACTTGTTTTAAAACACCAAAATTGCATTGTATGCTGATGAATTTTCGAAAAACAGCAAGAATGAACTATCCCCCTGAAGGGGTGAAATGCCAAATCTGCCGAAATCGGAAACAAATCAGGTATGCGTCCCAACCCAAATAACCAACCGTAACAATGTTTATTCTTGATGACGTCAAATAGGATGTATTTCTAGTTCCTAAGAGCTAAAGTTCAACTTCAGCACCTAGGACCTACAGTTCAACTTTAGCTCCTAGGAACCAAATATTTTGCCTAGCAACATAATTATTTTTGTGTCAGTAATAGAAACGTCAATTCAAGAGCTAATTTCGGTATTAAAATGGACGACTTTTGTGTCGTTAACGGAGAAATTGTATTCAACCAGTCTAGTGTACAGGGTGCGCCTCTCAAAATGGAACCCCCCCTTAACTCTTGTTTTCGGAAGTATGAAAAAATGTTGAATGAAAAAGTTGTTTGAAACGACCCGAAGTTTAATTTTGTGAAGTTGTTTCATATACAGAGTCATTCTTTTTTCCAGAAAGGACAACAACTTTGATTTTTTCAATGGAACACCCTATATATTTCCCAATATGTCGATAGTGCTTTTTCTTCTGATTCCAAAAATATATATGAGTTGCATATTCGGATTGAAAATGATTGAGTTATTGATGATTTGAAATAATGTTTATAAATTGTTTGAGCTCCATGTTTATTATGAAATTGAAAACGTTCGATTTCTATTGAAAAAAAGGGTCGGTTTGAATGAAAGATGCAAAATTTTGGAAATATACATTTCATGTGGGAAAAATGCAACCGCTGCTCGTAGAGAATATGCGCATCGGTTTGGTGATCGTCCGCTTCCATTTTTGAATACCTTCAAGAGGATCTTCGAGAAGTTCAGACGAGATAGTGGTGATTTGGGTGATTTGAAGAGGAATCGCCAAAAAAACGGTACTCATAGAAGGGACAGAGGAAAATAAATTACTTTATTTCATTGAAGACCCGAGTCGTTCGAAAAACAAGGCCGGAGAAGTGTAAATGTCTGGTGCAGTGTAGTAATTAATAGTAACTGAAGTAATTGGTCATATCTTCATTGATGGCAGTCTTACGGGGCAAAATTATTTGGATGTGTTCCAAGGTGATATTGAAAACTTGCTTGATGAAGCAATCCCTTGAAATAGACGAAACCAATTGGTATGGCAGCAGGATGGTGCACCACCTCACAATGGAATTGAAGTCACGAACTACCTCAATGCGAGTTATGACACTTGGATTGGAATGCGAGGACCAATATTTCACCCGCCCCGTAGCCCGGGCCTGACGTCTTGTGATTTTTTCCTGTGGGAAGCGGTGAAAGATAAGATCTATAACATGATATTCCGGATACTGACTTCTTGAAAAATAAAATAACAAAAGAAATTTCTTTTGAAAATTCTCATATAGTCCATTCAATGAATATTGTTTATAAAGATTCATTCAAGTTTTGTTGTCAAGAACTCTTGATGATACGCATGCGTTACTGTTGAAGTGTGATATCAAATCTATCCACATAATGATTTGTAGTTTATTGACTTTTCCATGGAATATTTTTTCATGAAGCGATATATTTTGGTCAACTTTGATCATCATTAACCCAAAAAATCAAAGTTGATGTTCTTTCTGGAAGAACGGATGACCCTGTATATGAAACAACTTCTAGAAATAAAAGTTTTGGTCGTTCCAAACAACTTTTTTATTCAACATATTCTCATATCTCCGAAAACAAAAGAGCTGAGGGGGGTTCCATTTTAGGAGGCGCACCCTGTATATCTGTCACATTTCCATTGTTGTAAGGGTAAATCTTCCTGAAATAGGTACCATTTTTGCGACCATTGTTATTTTTTTGAAAAAATATTTTGTTTTATATTTTCATAGATGTAATTTTGCCCTCGGCTTCATTGCCGTCTTATGGGGAAGGATATCACTTTTCGCACTGGTAAGGAGAGTATGGAAGAGGTACACATAATTTCCAATTTGTGTCCGCAAGCGAGGTGGTAAATTACATTACATCGGGCTGTTATGCGTTCAGTAAATGGTACTTAACCGTGCTAGTGTTTTTTTTTCACATTTTCACTCTTGAAAAAATGAATATTTTTGAAATAGGTACCATTCTTGAGCCCTTTGTCATATTTTTCAGTTTTATATTTTTATATAATTATGAAATTTATATTTTGATTTACTAACTAACATCTTATGCGTATTACGAAGCATCGTATAATTTTCAATTCGTTTACTACCACGCGTGCGGTGAAATACACTTCATCGCACTGTTATGTGTTCAGTTACTGGTATTTGATCACTGTAGTGTGTTTTTTTCATATTTTGCTAAAACGAGTGCTAAAAAATGATGTGGAAATAATTGATATTTTTTAAGTTGTTAATTTATTGATGAATACATGAAGGTACCGAATTATTGTTCATTGAAAAAAATGTCTTGAGTTTTTATTCAAACACTTGAATCTTATCTTGAAATTAAATATTGAGGTGAATAAAAAACCATGGTGTTGAGGAGTTTCAACCCATAACATAGGGAAACAA